CTGAAAAAGCAGAAGTGTGTACAGATTTCTAAAGACCTTTTGTCTCTGTCATCACACACAGTTCAAGGGATACCTGTGTGGGACTAAGAATGATGGTTGGTTTTGAACAGACACTTGCTACCACAAACAAACACCTAACTTTACAGTGGGGAAGACAGATTCATAAACTGGTTCTCTCCCTATGTTGGGATGCAGTCACTTCATGTGCGGCACAAGGAAGTCCCAAGCAGAAGTGTTTGCCTGGGGAAGTCTCAGTGAGCTCTTGATTCCAAGAACTGATGGAAGGTTCCCAAGCAAAGGCAAGATCATGTACAAAGGTCCAGAAAGTAGAATGTGCATTAAATGTATAGGGAGATGATTAAACTCTGGGAGCTTGAGGAGAGTGGTATGGGGCTTTAAGAAGGAAGGTGAGGCCAGGGCACGTAGGGCCTCAAATGCCATGTTAAGGAGTTTGACATTTGCCACAGTCAAATGAGGGTTCACAAATATAGGAATGAAACAATTATAAAACTGCTTTTAGAAAAACTGAATGAAAAGGAAAGGACCCCTCCCATACATGCAGACCCCTAACAACTGGGATCTGTCATCACAACAGGACAGTCTATGATGTCATAAGGCTCGTATCTAACAAGTCAACTCCATTCTTTTACATATTTATGCATTTATTTGGAAGGAAGAGCAACAGAGATGGAAACACAAACCTTTCACCTGCAGGTCCATTCCTCAAATGGCCACTGTGGTTGGGGCTGGGCCAAAATAGAGCCAGGATTCCAAAATTTGATCTGGGTCCCACATATGGATGACAGGGGCCCAAACAATTGGGCCATCCTCCACTGCTTTCCCAGGCACATTAGCAAGGAGCAGGATCTGAAGTGGAGCAGCCAGGACTCAAAGGGCACTTCAGTGAGGGATTTCAGATTATACGTAGCAACTTAATTTGCTGCACCACAAAGCTGACACTGAAATTCTTTTTCATAAAGCTTTTTAAAAATAGTGACATAAACATGATGATACGTCAACAAAGAAATGTTAATCATGGCTAATGATTCATCACATCTTTCAGAAAATGGATGCAGACTGAAGAGTGTAGGTATACCATCTCAAGATCCTGATTTCTTAGGAAGGTCTGAGTCTTAGAAAGAAAATAATGGCCTATACCAGAATGCTGGAACTTCTAAAACTACTCTCTCCCTACAATCTCCCCTTGACACCTGCAAGCAATAGCTCTGAATCTACTGGAGAGGACTCTGGCATCTCTTGACTTTGCTTTGCAAATCCAATCTCCCAATCAATCCTTTGGAAGCTTGGAGCCCTTTTTGTCTCTGGCTGCTCAGGAAACATTCATGTCTCTGGATCCTCCATCTTCAGCCTTTCCTGGCACATATTATGTTTATAAAATTTCTTCCTGCTTTGTTCCCTACCTCCAGAGAGCAGAAAAAGTTGCCAACAGCTCTTTCATCCTTTCAAAAACAATATTTAGTTTTGCCATTCCCTGAGCTTGGAGGAAGAAGCAAAAGGGAGGCAGAAGCAAAGCTAAAGAGCAGAGCTGTGGTCAGAAAGATGCAGAATGTTTAACACTACAGCTCAGCTTCTGCCTCAGAGCTTCGAAGAACCCACACAGCTCTGCCCTCCTGGCTCCCTTCTCTGTACCACCTGGCCTTGAACCAGTGCCCATTTCACTTTGGGTGTTTCCACTCATTCTTCTTAAAAAGCATGCTGGCAGGGCCAAAGCTGTATCATACTGTGTTAAGCCAGTTCAACTGGTAGCTACCCATAGGAGCAGCAGTTCGAGTCCTGCCTGTTCCACTTCCCATCCGTATCCTTGGAATATACCAGGGAAAGTAGGAAAAAAAAAATGGCCCCACAGTTAGGGTCTCTGCTACCTGCATTGGAGGCCAAATGGAATTCAACTCTCCTTGGTTCTGCCTGGCCCAGCTCTGGCCACTGAGGCCATGTAGGGGGGTGAATTAAGAAGTGAATCAGCAAATAAAGGATCTCTCTGTCTGTCTCTCCACACACACACACACAATATGCATACACTCAGAGGTCAAGGACTCAGCTAAGTGGCTTCCTTGAGGGCCACCCCACCCCCTAACCTTCCATCTGATCCTCACCTGACTGGTTTTTCCTCCAGCACACACACACACACATTGTGCTCCAGGTTCTACCTGATGCTTGTGCCCTTCCTTGTTCCTGCTCAACCACTGACAATCATGCCACACAGCCTTGCACCTGGCTAACAACTAAACAGCAGCAAAGATGGCTGAGGGCTTGAGGCATCCAAAGCAAATGGCCAAGTAAGAAAGCCGAACGCTGCCTATTCGGGGGACGACTAGACTCATCCTGACTGTGCGGATAAACACACTCTTGACACTGGGCAGAGAAATCCAAATATGGAAACTCCAGCTGCTCCCTCAGCCATAAAAGGCAGAGACCCTATTTTGCCCATGATTTCCTCTGACAGGTTTTCAAGACAGGAGAGATGTTCTGGAAACTCGGTTCAAACCATGAAAATCACTGTTTATCATCCAGCTCCTCTGTCCTTCTCCATTCGACAAAGGCCAATCTGAATAATATGCATTATTCAATGACTGCAAACCTCTCCAGGCTCCATTTGGCTTTACTATACTCACTTAAGGAACACAGCCCCTGTCAGAGGTCACAGCTCATTAGAGCTGGAGCCTAAATTCAATGCCCTTGAGACATGAAATGGAGCTCCGGACAGGGCCTTCCTGGCGCTGGTTAATTCACTTTGACTTCTGGGTTCTTGGCAGGCTGGGTCTCACGAACTCAGGATCTGTTTGCCATGTAAAGAAACCCAGCTGAGAGGCCCTATATATAAATGAAGCCGTGAAACATGGTCCATCCAAAGAAAGTCCAATGTTCATAAAAGAAATTCCGATGAGAATGACCACGGCATTTCAGCCACAGAAATGAATGGAGGATTGAAGGGGCAGCGCGGGAGCACAATGGAGGGTTTCTGGAGATGACCTTAATCTTCCCTCAGAACCACAGACTACTGGGACTGGACATTATTTGCTCCAATTGCCTCATTCTACCCACAAGGAAAGAGCAGCCCAGAGGGGGGAAAGGAGTTTGCTAAAGATCCCATAGTTCCCAGCAATTCTGGATTTAAAGCCCAAGTGGCCCTATTCCTTTCCCACTTCCTCTGTTCTCCTCGTCCACTGGAGCTCATACCCTTCCAGACACAAAAAACCAGGAGGCGTAAAAGGCAAGCAGCAGGCAAGAGGCACAACCCCTCCAAAGCACAAGGAAGGTCAGGTTCCTGCAGTACCCCATGAGCTGTCCAGCATCCCAGTTCCTATAGACCTGCTCTCACACAGCACACTAACGTGCACATCTTTCCTCCACTGTCTAAGCATTTCCCTTAGCAGAATCAGAAGGACAGAACACAGTAGGAGGATGATAGAGGAGTGACTCTTAGACTAAACTTGAACTCCTGTCTCATCCCAAAACACAGTCATCCACACACTGATAAAACAAAAGGCAGCTGAGAAGCAGTTGTCAAGTCTGAGGTGTCTATGGAGATCCCAGCCGTGGGCTCTAAATAAAATGCAGATTATGACTCAGTGGGTCCGGGGAGATGCCGATCCTCCACACTTCTAATGAACTCCCAGACAAACCCTCCTACAGGTAGGAGGACCACGCTGCCAGCCGCAATGGGAAGGGGTTCCAAGAGACTCAAACAAACCTGGGTTTTGGTTCTCATTCTCCCAATGAGAAGCTCTGTGATCTTGGGCTGGTTTCCTAATGTCATTACGCCTCAATCTCCTCGTCTTTAAAATGGAAATAATAATTATCTAAAAAGCACTTGATGATGATTGTATAAGGTAATGATGCAAAGCTTTTAACACAGTGCCTGGCATATAATAAGAGCTTAATAAATGTCAGCCGCTGGCTGCTTCTAAGATTCATGAGGAGGGAGCGTAACTGGCTCAGGGCCAACACCGCGACAGCCAGGACATAGTAGGTACTCTGCGGATATTTGGCCCATGAATCTGCACATAATACATCTACACACAACATCAGCGCATACATATTTTCTCAGCTCTGTGGCTTTTCTGCAGGCAAACAGAAAAAATACCCAATACCAGAAGACACTCACAAGCAACAAGACATCTTCTAGAATCAAATTCAACATGAACCACCATCTCGACCCACTGAAACATATAATCTGTGACAGCTATATACACTAGAGAAAACGTTTTGATTGAAAATAGACGTCAGTCTACAATCTGTACGTCATTAAGAGAAATTACGAGCTTTGCTCATTATTTATGAGCTGTCTGAATACAAATGTTATGAAAAACTTCAGTCTAGAACAAAGTTCACTTCCAAACCCAAAGGAGGCAGCAGAGACTAAAACCATGGGAAGGGAGACAACTTTTAAGGGGCCACCAGGACAGGAGCACATTCTCTTGTAAATGTACTTTCTCATTCAGCAAAAAAGAAAAAAATCGGAAAGAGGAGAACTGTTAACAAACACAAGATCTTAATCTTTCAAGTCAAAGGCAGACAATGCATTCCATCCCCAATTCTTCAGCAATCCAAGACTATCCGCAGCCATCTCTTAAAGTGAGTGGGAGCCTCTGAACAAACGCCAGTGCCAGGGAGGCTCAGAGCAAGGTATGCAGTAAGAAGAGACTACGATTGCCACCTAGAGACAAAAGTGGCACTCCCTGCGCAAGAGCTGGCCAATCACATTTTAATGTGAGGAGGAAAAAAAAAAAAACCCACTGCCAAGTCCCCTCCCTCCAATCCCATCCAAACCACCACACCACATTACTTCATTTAGAATTACTCTTAAGTCATACAATCATCTCCAGGCATTCGGCCTCTTCATTATCATCATCCTTTCTAATTTCCCAGAAACACTGCCATTCAACTCTCTCCTACACTGTTTAGAGCCAGAGAGAATGCAAGCCGACGGATTTCCAGCAGGCAAAACGACATCAGAGTGGAAGCATATCTCTCCTTACCTGATATGAAAGGAACAACCCGGAATATATCTGACAATCTGCTGTTAACTGGCTCATAAGGGGAGTCTTCAAGCAGATCATTTCCTAAAGGCAACAGAAAGATGAGGCTCAAATCTAAAAACAAACAGACATATTTCTAGCAGTTTTTTTTTTTTCTTTTGCTCTGGAATCTGAATTCTAATTATGCTAGGATTGTGTAAGCTGCTGAAACTTTCAAAAGATTTCAAATCCATCGATTTGGCTGCTAGTTTCTGTTTCCTTTCCCCTGCCTCTGTTATCCTTGTTCTCCCAGGAGTGCCATGAAAACACTGGAAAACAACCCAGCCCGAACTTGCCAGAAAACTCTCCCACTCTTTGCAAAGGAACGAAACCAGAGAGGACAGAGCCAGTGACGTCACAAGACCTGCTTGGCTCCAGGAACCAATGGCGGAAAGGTGACCCCAAGAGGCCCTGGTTCCTGTTTGCTCCCAAAACGTGGCCTGCGGTTAGAAAACAGGTGTCCTGGCTATCAAAGCCTGCAGCTGCGAAAGAGGCTTTCATGGGCAGATCCTGGAGGAGGTGGCCCCTGCCAGGTCAACCCCGTGCAGGTGTGACGCAGCAGGGACTGAGTGGCCGCACACCAGGTTTGTGTTAAGATTTACACGCGAGGACCAAACAATCCCCGTTAGAATGGCTCCCTGTGGCAAGTGGATTTTTCTCTGAGCTACTTCTGTGTTAACCAAGGTTGAACCACACCCGCTGGTTCAAGACCCAGCTAAGTGGCCAAATGGTTTTGCACACTCTGCCTTTGATCCCATCCAAGAGGGGTTCAAGCGTGAAGAGGTTCTACTGGACCTTCTGTTACTTTATCTGATGTCAGAATAGACTGAAGGAAGGAAAGAGACACTATCCCCACGCAAGATTCAAGGCAAACCTTTGTAGGATTGTTCTGTGAAGCCAGTTAAAGTTTCAGGCCAGATCTCCTTGGAGAAAAACTGTAGGTTGGGGGTGGGGGAGAAGAGTCTTTTAATGACCTCTCGTGGCATGCGTTGGCCAGGTTTCAGAGAGGTCAGCCAGCTCCTTGGGGTGCTCCTCCACCCCCTTGAGGGTATTCCAAGGATCTGGCCCAACAATGCTGCCTGACCACTGCAAACACCAGCTGTCACTGTCCCTAGGGGCCCATGAGAGGGCCTCACTCGCAGCTGGGGAGAAGCGAGCTCAGCCAGCCCGCTTCGGCCTGCCTGCTGCGGGAGGGTCGTCGGGGAGGGGTGGTGGGCTCGTACCCTGCAGGCTCTGATACATGCTCCAGTAGATGCGCAGGCAGTTTTTCTCCTTCTTCATACCCCGCTTGCAGCGGCAGTTGTACAACGACTTCTGTTTCAGGGCCTCCATGGCGCTGCGGCACTCATCCTTGGCCTCGAGACCTGACGCCAGGCTGAAGTTGGTCTCCTTGCCCGCCACGCACTGCCTCAGTGTGCGGTACTTGCTGCTGCAGCTCTGCTCCTTCAGGCACTGATCACTGGCTTTCACGCAGTCCAGGCGGTCCCCGCCGCTCACTTCCACCGACAGCAGCAAGTCTGCGGGGTAGAGGAGAGGGAATGGGCGCTGCCAGCCAGGTGGAGATCCCTGGCGCCCCGGTTCGGGATTGGCGGGCTGGGAGGGAAGAACACGTGCCCCGGGATAAGGATGCTGGGTCAGCGTTCCCGGGCTCCCGGGGCTGGCAGCAAGTCCACACACACCCCTGGCCCAGACCAAGAGTCCATTTTCCAGCTCCTGGGGCTCAGCAGCCAGATTTCCTCACCCAGCCCGTAGGGGAGGGTAGTGCCGGTTCAGCCTGGCAGGCGTCAGCGCTCTGTCCCGGAGCCTACACTACCCACCGCACGCCACTTCCCTGTCGCCCCAGGCCAACTGAAGCACAGTGGCCGCCGAGGTGAAGGCGCTCCCAGGGCCCGGGTGAGCCCAGCCCTGCGCCTTTGACTGGAGGAAAGCGAGCTGGGCGCAGGAAGGCTAACTGTCCAACTGCAAGCATCCAGAAGTTAATAGGGGAAAAGTTCTTCCTTCGAAGTTTGCTTCCCCAGTCGCAAGCTCGCCCACATCCCACCTGCCCTGCGCGCCTCCTCAAGCTCCGTGGGACTGGCAGGGGGCGCACGGCCCGGGGTTCGGACCCCTTTCGTTCCCAACAGGCTGGGTGAGGGGGAAAAAACCGACAGAAAATAAAAACCAATACGGAGAGCCACATGCAGCGACGGGCTGCCACCACTTTCCAAGCCCAGGGTCTCAAGGTCCCAATCCCCAAAATGAAACTTCTGCCTCTCTCTCACCTCTCTCAGCACCCTAAGTCTCGGAGAGGCCACCGGTGAGGGACCCGCGGGAAGACTCGGCAGGTCAAACAGCCGGCGGCCTCGACTTACCCAGAAGCGGCAAGGCGAAGTACAGGGTAGCCAGGAACATGGTGTCGGCGCGCAGCTGGTCCCCGCACCCCTAACAAAACAGCTGGAGGCGCCGCTGGGTCTCGGAGGGCGCTCAGCATGCAGCAGTCCCCGGTAGGTCGTGCTCCTCAGGCCGCCCAAAGTTCAGCTCCATTCAGCGTTGAGAGGAAACTCCCGCTCGGTCAGCCGCCGCCGCCGGCGACTCAGCTCCCGGCGGACGGCAGGAGCGAGGGCGGGAGGCGGTTCCGCTTGCAGGGGTTCAGGTCCGACCCAACCTGGAAGGGAGAGGGCGCTTTGAAATCAGAGTCCGGAGCCTCCTCCCACCGCCGCCCCGCCGTCCCCCGCAGCCGCCGCTGCCTTGGGAGGGGGGTCTTTCCGCCGCCCCCGGGAGGACCCACCCCAACCCGGGACACGGCTGATGGGGGGCAGGAGCGTATTTTCCGGAGCGCGCCGGTGAGGGCTGCGAGGCGTCAGCCGCGGGCTCCCAAAGTCCGAAGGGCTGTCTTTCGGGTGCAGCCTGAACGCAGGCAAATAAATAAGCGTTACTTTCTGGGAGCTTAGCGGTCGCCGCTTGCAGTCCGAGCCCGCGGCGGCGGCTCCCCAGCCGGCTCCCCAGCCGGCCCCGGCGCGCAAGGAGCCCCTTCTCCCGGGAAGTTGGCCGCCCCTGCCTCGCGCCCGCTCGCTCTGCCCGCCAGCCCTCCCCACCCAAGCCACCAAAGGCCACCTCGGTCGCCGTTACCCACCGTCCCTCCCCGGGTCTCGCCTCCTCTCGCAGCCAGCCAGCGGAACCTTGCGTCCCGGCTGGGGCCGAAACCCGGCTCGAGCGCCCCTGCCCGGGCGCCGGCGCCTCTCGCGTCCTCGCCTAGCGAGCGGGACTCGGGCGCGTCCACACCACCGGGCCCCGGCCCCCGCGCGCCGGGGCAGGTGCAAACCCCGCGCCGCGAGCGCTTCCCCTGGCCCCAAAGTTGGGGGAGGCTTGTGAAAAGGAAAAGAGGTAACAGAAGGAAGGTGCCGCGAGGGGCACCCAAACCCACAAAAGGAGAAAACTCTCCAAACGCCACCGACCTGGACTCTACCGACCGCGTCCGGTTGCGGCGAGGAGCCAGTTTATTTATTTATTTATTCCCGGGAAGGGGGGAGGGGTGTCCCCGCCCCCTCCTCCCCTTTCCGGGCTCACTTTCTGTGCTCTGAGACAAAAAAGATGCAGTAACCTACAAGCGCTCGGGGAGCCCTGTCAGACCAGGACGGTTTCCGAGCAGAGCCCAGGACTCTGATGCCTGTTAGGGATACAGTGGTTTATTCGAAGTGGCGCCGAGGATTGCGGATTCCAAGTCCGAGCTTCTCTGGACAAGAAGATCTCCAGACCGCCTTGCTCCTGCTGCCCCCCGCCCCCCGCTCTCCGCCTGTGCTCTCCTGGGTCCGTGTGCGCGGCCGCGGCAGCTGCACTCGCTCCGCTGCAATGGGACCCGCGCCCGGACCCGCACGCTGGCGCGCGGAGCACGTAGCGCTGTGCAGCCGGCCGTGGGTGCTACCAGACATTCTCTCTCTCTCTCTCTCCCTCGGACACACACGCATACACACACAACGCACAAAGACTCGCTTTTAGTGCAGTCGGACCAGATCCTGCTTCCCAACACAAACTTATTTTTGCCCACGTCACTCGCGGCGGTGACTCCAGCCTTGGCACCTCAAGCACACCCCCACCGCCCCGCCTGCCCCAGCGACTATCGCGGATGCGCCCATCCTTTAGTCCCCGCCACCGCGTCAGGCACGCATACGCTTGCACATTCACACACACGTACACACTCAATCACTCGTGGTCTCTCTACCTGTGTGCTCGAGCTGGACAAAAAAACGAAGACCCCAGCCCACTGCATTTAACCCCCGGTCAGACCTGGCAATGACAAATTTATAAGCTGACCTCCATCTTGGCTGTTTAAAGAGAACATTTTTGTATAGGTATATATATCAACACACCCGCGCGGGAGTTAGCACTCCCCCCGGCGGGGAGAGGCTGCTTTCAGGTGGCCTGCGGCACCCAGAGTCCAGTCCTGGACCTTTGCGCCCTTTTCCCAACGTCAGGAGTCGCTCTGGGCTCCAGGCGCTAACTGGTGCGGAGGACAGCCTGCGGTGGTGGCTTGGGGCTTGTCTTTGGAATCTGTGTTGATGCCCAAGTTCATCTCTCGGGAAACGGAGTTTCAACCAAGTCTGTGAGCTCAGCTGTCAAATCCACAAACCCATCAGGCCAGACAATGGGTCGCCTCGGTGGAAAGAGAAGGAACGCTGGTTTTGATGGAGGGGGGTTAATCGAAAGGGCAAGGGCTTTGGTTGAAGTTGGAGGCCCCGCAGTAAGGACTGGGAGAGAGGAGGGAGGGAGAGAAGAGGGTTGGGCAGCTCTCCATTCAACTACACAGCAGTCAGGCGCGCCCAGGCTGCAGCGCAGCCGGCGTGCACGCTGACCATCCTGGTCGCCCACCAGTATCTGCGCCTCGTTGTGCGCCCCGCACCCCGAGCGCGTCCCACCACCCCCACTCCCCACTCGCTGCGCACGTGTGCCTAAGGGGGCAGATCTGCAGCAGATCTGTCCCTCCTGGAGTACCCCTCCCTTCCCCTGGGCTGGGGCGCTCGCGCTTTCTCTCTCTCTCACACACACATACACACAAACACATACAATCACGCTACATGGATTTCTAATTCAGTGTATCGGTTTACACTTGGTTGTTGAGTAAACAAAGCAAGCATATGTTACATTCTCTCGACAGATGGTTCGAACCAAGGGCGACTGAAGTTCTCTTTCTAACAGTCGAAGTTTCTGGGTGGGCTCATTGGAAATGGAATTAAGTCTTACAGTTGGTCTCCTCCCTTCGTTCCATATCTTTACACGCACACAAACAATGGAGAAATCCGGAGGAGAGGGCTTACTTAAGTGGGAAGAGGTGGATAGCAATTATGTGTTCATCTGAACACGTGTTTCTCCATGGACACCCCAAACCCTCTTTCATGGTCCCATTTTGTAAGTAGAAGGGAATTTCTTTAGAAAGGCAGTAATAGCAATTCGTAGTGGTGATGAAAACTGAGTTTTGTTTTAAAAATACTGATAGTAAACCACCAGCTGCTATCAACTGTGATGTCCAAAATAATAGTCATATTCCTATAGCATTTCAATGGTTTAGCCAACATAAGTCAAAGAAACAGCGACATTCATCAGTATGGCTGATCTCTTTTACCATATCACAAAGTACTGGTGTGGAATATTTCCAGTACTTTGTGATATGTGAGCAGCATTGCACTGGAGTGCCACTGCAGAGTTGGCTCATATGGTATGCGTGCACAGGAAGTCGGTAGGACAGCAGAATGGGGCAGGCACGAAGTGGTGCTTTACAATGAGAGCTGTTGTGAGGGTGATGCTGAGGACAACAACGTGGGTAGTGATGGTGATACTTTCTCGAGGAAGCTGAAGAGTCATGAAAACACAGCTCACTGCTGCTGTGTTCTCCATTCAGGGTCAGATCCATAGGGGATGACATATCAGCAGCCTTCGGGCCAGTATTTGGTGTGCTGGCTGAGACCTCCCAGTGCCTGGGGTGTTCTCTGCTCCTAATTCCAGTTTCCTGTTGATGTGCACTGTGGGAGCAGCAGGTGGTTCATGTAGCTAGCATCCTGCCACCCATGTGAGTGACCTAGATTGAGTGCCAGGGTTGTGGCTTTCGTGTGTTGCATTCACTTGGTGTAAATGAGCAGAAGATCTCTCACTGCCTCTTTCTCTCTCTGTGTTTGTCTGACTTTTAATAAAGAAAGTTTTTAAATAATTTTGTAAAAAGAAATTAAAAGCTAATCTTCCCAGGAGAACTAGTCCATGCTCTGACCTAAGACTTATTGGTGTAACAGCTAGTGAAAAAGAGAGAGAGAGAATGAAAGAGAGAGAGAGAGTTTTACAACTATATGCACTAACTTCTAAAGGTGAGAAACCCGCGGCCAGCAAGCCCGGAGTTAGGGAAGGTAGGAAAGTGTTGTGCCTTACTGCGTTGGTATTCTCTGTCTCCAGCGAACAGGACTGATCTCAGGAGAACAGGTGACATGGAATAAAAACATAAATGACTACAAAGATGTATGCAATCCTCTGTGACATGTTTTCTCAGCAGAAAATTGGTTTTAATGCTACAAAATTAGGTTCAATCCACCCATGAGCACATGAAGTGAGCAATTTTCTTATATTTCTTGATGAAGTGTATTTTCATAAGCTATCAGATCAGTCATGATAAGGATGTCAGTTCCATTCCAGGCAGCATTCTGTCTCTCTCGCTCTCGTTGACATGGCCTATAGACTAACGTATAAAACATAAGCATTGTGCAAAATTATACTGCTGAAAAACCTTTCAAGTTTCTTGCACTCAAACTAGTCTAAGTGCATCCTTTGACATTTGCTAACTGACAAGGTTTGTATCTGTTCCTGCATAGAATGATTCAACAGTTCCTATTGCATCATGTGCTTTTTTTCTCCTACTATACCTTTAGCCCATTCAATTCCACCTGCCCAAAAGGTACTTCACCTTGATAGCTTAAGGACTCAGCTTAACTCCAACATATCACTTAAGGATAGCAAGGATCCCTTTGTTCCTAACTAAGAGTTCATGTAGCATACTTCATGGCTACATGGAAATCTGTAGCGGAATTGTTGTGACATTGTACTATAGTTAGTTGCTACATATCTATCCATTCAACTGGAATGAGAACTTGTTGAAGGCAAGAAGATGTTCTAGTCATTTTGTTGCATCTTCAGCGTTTAGCTGGGTGACTCACAGGCCATCACCCCATCCATGCCTACCGATCACATGCATATCAGTTGCATGAATAATGAGTACTGCTGCTTCTCATTTTCCTTTGACACAATAATTTTGCTGAAAGGTTGATATGAAATCCTTTTACTATATGAACAATGCTAAGCATAAGGACTTCATACAATTACTGGTATTGCTGTTCCAATAATAGTATCAAATGTGCTTTATTCCTTTGGGGATTTGACATTTAAAAAATATTTTAAACAAAACCCATTATTGTAATAGAATGCTCTTTTTCTGGTTCACTTTAATAGTAACATATGACAGATTTCGTTTCTGGGAAATGATAGCTTGCCTTAGGTCATATTTTAAGGCATAAAGCCAGAAGCAGAGTAACATTTCCACCTGAAGTTCTCTAATCATCCAGAAATGTGCCTCTCTGGGACAAGGGCCAGATCAGCACTACCCTGGAGCCTTCATCCTCAAAGGCAAATTTTAAAAAGCCAAATTGCCCCCATTTTTTTTTAAAGTCCTCATGTCGAAAGACAGCTCCTTCTGTAATCTGTTTAGCAAAATGTGAAAATAGTAATCATTCAGACGAGAAAACTGGCATAAGGGTCTCTGCGCTGACACCAAACTCATCTTGGAATACTGGACACTTCCCTTTGGCAGTTCAAGAACAGCTGGTGGTTCTCGGATTTCAGAGCCTTTTCCAGACTGCCTGTATTAAGATGGGTCTTTTGAACATTACTTGCAAATGGAAGTTTCTTATTATCTCTCAGGATTTCGACCCCCTAGGAACCTGTCTTAGGAAATCAGTCTCTTCATTTCAGCCATTTTTCATTTCTTAGCGCTAGGATGCCAGTACAAGGATTTCGAATGCATTTGTGGACGAATATGCGTGAGAGTTGAAGTCATTTGTACTTTGGCCTTGTGCCACAAGATGCATTCAAGGTGTACAGCCCTGATGAAATAAAGTGCCTGTCATGCCTTATGGCTTGAATATACGGCCAAAGGTTCCCTGTCTTCAGGAGACTTGTAAGGGTTTTCTAGAGACTGCCAAACGTGTGGGATTAAAAGCCCTGCTCACCTCAGGCCTCTTCATCCAGGAAGCCTGGGAAACGCCTGCTCAGTGAAAGCACCTTTTCTCTCTGCCGCTATCCAGACAAGCCCTCAACTCTGTTCCCACCGGACTCCTCCATCCTGAGGACAGGAGGGAAGCTTAATCCCTGGCTTTGTCCAGTAATTAGCCTCTCTCTCTGTCTCTCTCCCGAGACAGCAAACACAGATGCCGAGCAGGATGAGCTTTGGGATGTGGCGGTAAAACAGAC